TAATGTAGAATGAGTTTAGAAAGTTAAGAGAAAATTCCAACAGTCACTTGGACAATAAATAAGGCAAATTCTTTCGAAGCTGTCGGAAAAACAAATCGGCGTACTGAAGTCATAACATGCGTTTTAATTGGATTTAAAGGCGATTTGGAGGCGAATGAGAAATCAAGGCAATCAATTAAACAACTGTTTCAACAAGCAAATGTTCACCGTTGGCAGTTCAAAAAGGAGTTACGGATGGAAGTCAGGTATGAGAAATGTCCTAGGTTCATTTTGCTTCGCAAGTGACGATACTATCAAAAAAATGGATTTGTTTTTGGGATATAGGTAGTGAGAATATAGGGATGGCTTATCATAGATATCATTAACAACAAAGATTCTCTAGTACTTTGATGTTTTATTTTACTTTGCAAATCAAATTTACGCGTTTGGAATTTAAATATAAATTAACGTGGATAATGGTGAATTTGATTTGAAAGAAAGCGAATTTGATTTGTAAAATGGTGAATTTGTTTGGAAAAAGAGTGAATTTGATTTTAAAAGGTGAATTTGGTTTGAAAAAAATGTAAATTTGATTAGAAAAAGAATAAATATGATTGGCAAAATGGCGGATTAGATTGGAAAAAAGTGGATTTGATTTGCAAAAGGGTGAATTTGCTTTGAAAAAGAGTGAATTTACATTGCAAAAGAGGGATTTTGCTTTGAAAAAAAGTGAATTTGATTGGTAAAAGGGTGGATTTGAAAGGAAAAAGTGTGAATATGAATTTACTTTGCAAAATAGTGATTTTGATTAGAAAAAGAGTGAATTTGATTTGAAAAAGGTGAAGTTTCAAAAAAGAGTGAATTTGATTAGCAAAAAGTAAATTTGATTAAAAAAAAGAATGAATTTGATTGGCAAAAGGGTGGATTTGATAGGTAAAAGAATAAATTTGATTTGCAAAATGGTGAATTTGATTTGTAAAAGAGTGAATTTAATTTGTAAAAGTTTGATTTTAATTCTTCAGTGGGAGGAAAACCCAAATTCTACCTCGTATTACTGTAATTAATTGGCAAAAGAGTGAATTTTATTTGCAAAAAGGTGAATTTGCTTTGAAAAAGAGTGAATTTGATTTGCAAAAGGGTGAATTTGCTTTGTAAAAGAGTGAATTTGATTTTAATTCTTTGGTGGGAGGAAAACCCAAATTCTAGCTGGTATTACTGTAATTAATTGGCAAAAGAGTAAATTTGATTTGCAAAATGGTGCGTTTGGAAGTATGTTGTTCTAAGGAATTGTGAAGTTAGGTAAGGAGAACACAGCATTTTTTGTTAGGTAATAGCTATCGTTTATCTTCCTTTGAGGAATATACATTGATAGTCATCTGTTACTGCTGCAACTTTGTTCCATACGGACAGTATTTTTTACGAGTTATTGAGGAGAGATATTCCATGGTAATTCGAACATTTTCGTCGGTTTTTATAGATTACTCCCGCAGCCACATTTGAAAAAATAAGGATCATAATTTTTCTTGTGCCTATCACCACATTTAGCCTTTAATGTAATAAAAAAGAATGTCGGTTTCTGACATTTTGATTCAGTCAATTTCAAGTCTGAAGGGGGAAAAATTGAAGTCAATGATGAGAAATCATAACAAAATGATTACTTTTACCTTTGTCGATTAAATAGCTTTATGATTAGACTATAACTAGTTCGCCTTGCTTCAAGAGGTCCCACTCTCAACTTAAATTTAATAGCTTCATTCATTTTTATTCATCTACTTGTACGTTATAAAATATTTTTTATATTTGTAAACATTTTATAATTGGTTTGTTGCAAATCTTATATTTGTTTGACTTGCCAGACTCGTGATAATAATTTAATACTTTTGTGTCGCCAATTTGGTACATAAATAAAAGCTAATTTTAGAAAACGTGACAGACTAACTTTTAAATGTCATAAAGAATAGATTATTTGGAGATGGTGAGATGCGGTCTGGTGTGACGTAGGTTTTAGAAAAATATTTTCTTTATCGTGCCACGTTTCGATCTTTATTGAGATCATCTTCAGGGCCTGGAATTTATAAACATTGTTTAAATTTTACAAAGACATGTAGGATGTGAAAAAATGAATTTACACAATGCTAGCAATTTTAGATTCAATCAAAGTATTTTTTCTTTTTCACATCCTCCATTTTCATGAAAAGCATTTTTTCCAATCTGGGGAAAAATATTCTCATCCTAGTGATTTGTATGGATTAAAGGTGCTTATTACCCATTTAAATTTGTCAGGACTGAATATTTTGCCTGAGAGGCTGCCTTTTTGAGCAGCTGGGCAGCTCCTTCCAGGTCTCACTGCATTCCACACGTCCTTGGGTTTCCAGGGTGCTTCTCTCGGCGTGGGTTCCCCTTGGCTATGTGCCTATAGAATGAAGCCTGGATTGGCTGGGCGTCCTTTCGTTATAATTTTCTGTGTCCTGGTCGCAATGCCAAGCCTTCCACGTTTAAGTCCTTCATTAACTTCCCCCTAAAACTTGGCCGAAGATCTCCAAGTTGAGTATTTTTATTTTGTGTGTAAATGTTTTTGTAAGTAGATTTCTTTCTATAGTCATACCGGGATTGAATCTTTGTAAATACGTTGTACGCACAATTCAAGGGGACTTGAATAATAAATAAAGTTTATTTTTCATTTCATTTAAAGAAATCCTTATTTATTGTTCATATCGTTTATTGTTGTTAAATGTTAAAAACTGAACGAAATAATCAAGAAACTTTTAAAGCGAAATTTACAGTCTTTGAAACAACTGTTTCATTTCATTTAATAGAGTTTTATGGGTCGTTTCTTGTTTCATTTCACACCCCCTTTTATCACCATTGTTTAATGCGTTAATTAACGATGCTATATTTTTGTGTCTTTCAATTAAGACAAAATGACATCGCTCGATCGCGACTTATCCTGCTGTAGGTCTACACCAAGGCATTATTTTCTTCCGCTAAATGTCAGAGGGAAGGCAGAATTTGTCTGTCACATTGTGTCGATGAGTTTAATGGAGCGTTGTTTTCATTCGGCTCCTTTCGAAGCTGCCACCTGGAATGTATGTTGTTATTACGAGCATGATGTTCCATATGGTCGGAAAATTGGCCCAGTTCAGAATAGGGCTTAAAATCCAAGTTGGCAGGTTACAGGGCGAATGTCATTTTTTGCCAAAGGAAGTCAGTTTAAATTAAAATGGAATATTGAACAATCAGAAATTGCAAAAAGTCCACACACGATTTTTTTTCACTTATCCCAGCTTTTGGATGTGGATTACCGAATTTTGGTGATACTAGGTCGAAAAATATTATAATTTTATCCTAGGGTTCCTGTCAATGGGCCCTAGGAGCAGAGAAAAAATATTTATTTCGGAGTTACTATATATCAATTGATTTTTTTTTTTTTTGCGAAGGATAAGACTTTTTTTAAACCGATCGACTTAGTAAAGTAGGGATGGTTAGGGATGGTTAGAGAATAAGTGGTAGGTCAGCGGCGTATTTAGCCTAGGATCGTGGGTTCGAATCCCTCTCGTGACTCTGACTTTTTTAACTCAACTAATACCTTACATAAAGATTAATTAATTGAAAGTAGTAAAGTAGGTTCAAATATTTGTTAATACAGAAACAAAGCCGATGTTTGTTCTTTGCACTCCAATAAACCCGTAATTACAAATTTTTGGGAAAATCAAAAAATGTTTTTATCCCTCAAAAATTTTCGCCAAATTTTTGCCTACAATTCTCCTCCCTCCCCCCCAAAAAAATCACAAAAATATAGATAATTTTTAAACGACTCAACCGATCTGAAAGAAACTTTACAAAAATTCAGAACCCTATAAATTACGCCTAATGGGACAAACGCTGTTATCATAAAAAAAATTAAAACAGGAGATATAAAATAAAACGTTCGAGGTGGTTTTGTTGACTCAATCCTTTTTTTTCCTCTTATGATAACATAAAACTTAAACCATGTTACGTTTAAGTGGTCAATTGACCAAGTTATTGCTTTCAATTTTATTCTTTCTATGTAAGGTCTTGGTTGAGATAAAAAAGTCAGTGTCACGAGCGGGATTCGAACCCACGACCTTCGGCTAAATACGCCGCTACTCTACCACTTGGGCTATCGTGACTTCGATCCAGGACTTTAGATAGAAAGAATAATTAACTGAAAGAAGTAACTTGGTCATTTAACCACTAAAACGTAAAATGGATTAATATTTAATAAGTAAAAGAAGTATCACTTCACTAAACAGCTCCCCGTGGCCACTTCACAGGTCACTGAGAATCCAATCCCGATTACACGACATTTGAAAATGGCAAAAAGGAGGGAAAATTCAAAAGGTGGGGTCGAGATGGATAGTTGGTGTTCGAGAGGATGGACGTCACGATAGCTCAAGTGGTAGAGCAGCGTCGTATTTAGCTGAAGGTCATGGGTTCAAATCCCGCTCGTGACACTGACTTTTTTATCTCAACCAATACCATACATAGAAAGAATAATTGATTGATAAAACTTAAACATTCACTTATCAAGAGCATTGTCGATGGGTGGCCCTCGAAAAATCTGACTCATAAGAAGGGCCATCCTCACCAGATTAAGGATAGGCCATGCACGGATGACATACAGATACTTACTTTTGGGACAAAGCCTGTGTATGTGTCCAGCCTGCAGAGAAAGGTTAAAGAAAGGTTTAATAAATAATATATATGCTAACATAAATACAAAAACAGCTATGTACAGTTAAAATTTTTATGACCCTGACGTAATGGAACTCTGTGCCCCTGCTGTTAGACAATGCCTGCATATAGGTTATGTGTGATGTTGGATTTCTTTCTTTGCATACTCAGTGCTATACAATCAATTATTTATATATATTTGTTTTACTGTTACAACAATTTTCCTACATAACTGGCACCTTGGTGGACATTATGTGTAATTTTTACCCTTCTAGGCTGTGTTTAATTTGTTTTATTTAATTTATTTGTTTAATTTTATGTTTTAGAAGTTGCAATCAGGGTATACAAAAAAAGATGGATAATGTTATTTCTTTTTGTTGCAACGTCAACATTCAACGCCATACACTGGCTTCAATATTCTATCATAGCAAACATTGCGATGAAATATTACGAAGTATCTGCCCTAGCAGTAAACTGGTCTTCGATGATCTACATGGTTATATATGTTCCATTGGTATTTCCTGCCACATTTGTCTTAGAGAAAAAGGTAAATTTATTAATTTTTATTATTATTTTTTATCAATTGTACTATGATTGTATATTTTTGCCTTTGTGGTTCTAGGGTTTAAGATTTTCCCTTATACTAGGCCTCACAATAATGTGCTGTGGAGCATGGCTTAAATTAGTGACACTCAACAGGAACATGTTCGTTGTTGCATTTGTCGCACAAGGTATAGTCGGAGGTGCACAAATTTTTATTCTAAGTGTACCTGCGAGGTTGGCAAGTATATGGTTCGATGCCAAGGAAGTTTCAACAGCCTGCGCTTTAGGAGTGTTCGGAAATCAGGTACGTGATTTGTATAGGTGATTTTAAATTGTTAATAAATTGAATATTGTTTTAGCTAGGCGTTGCGCTTGGATTTGTCATCCCACCAGAAGTTGTTCACGACTCTAATGATATGGACGCTATACGGGAAGGATTTAAATGGCTCTACATTGGTTTTGCGGTTCCACCAACTGTTCTACTATTTCTAGTAATTTTATGTAAGAAAAAGTAAATATTGACTTACTACTTCTTGACTTCCTTAGCCTTAGAATTTGAGCCACCGCTTCTAGCCTTCCACCTCTGGCCACCTTTCTCCATCTTTACAGGGCTCGAATTGGCATAAATCATTTTAATTATGATCAATCTTGCGGTTCCTCCCTTCAGGGTGCGCACAGAGTGGCAGTTTTTTCTTTCGCCTTATAGCTACCATCACTCCTACAATATATAAATAGAAAAATATTTCAACCGCTAAGTTCCTGATTCTAAAGTCTTCTAAAGCTTAGTAAAGAATTCCTTACAGGTCTTTTCATTCAGGTTCTTAAATCTTGAGTTTTAATTAATTAATTAAGAGATATTGAAAATGTTAAAACTTGAAGTGAAAAAGGGTTAATTTGATGGTTAAAAAGGTAAATTCGAAGTGAAAAAGTGTTAATTGTTGTTAAAATGTTAACTTGAAGTGAAAGAGGGTTAATATGATAATTAAAAAGGTTAACTTGAAGTTAAAAATTGTTAATTTGCAATTAAACAGTGTTAAATTGAAATTAAAAAGGCATTAATTTGATTACTTAAGGTTAGACAAAAAAGGCTATTTTCAAATAAAAAAAGAGTTAACTTGAAATTAGAAAGGGTTAAAATGATGTTAAAACATGTTAATGGAGAAATGAAAATGGTTAATTTGGTGTTAAAAATGTTAATGTTATTAAAGAAGTTAAAAAGAGTTAATTTGAAATTAAATAGCGTTAATTTAATGTAAAAAGGATAACTCGAAGTTAAAAAGGTTAATTTAATTTTAAAAAGGACAACTTGAAGTTAAAAAACGTTAATTGATGTCAAGATGTTAATTTGAAGTGAAAAAGGGTTAACTTGATGTTAAAAAGAGGTTAATTTGCAATTAAACATACTTAATTTGATGTTAAAAAGGTTAACATGAAATTTGAAATTAAAAAGCATTAATTTGATGATAAAAAGATTAAATTTCAGTTAACAAAGATTAATTTGTATTAAAAAGTGTTAATTTGAAATTAAATAGGGTCAATTTTATTTTATAAAGGTTTGACAGAAAAAAGCTATATTCAGTGTGAAATCTTGCCCACAACCGATGTTGAAATAGTACAACACAAAACATTAATTTTGAATCAATTCTGATCATTTCTGAGTACTTCTGTACAACTTATAATGTGTAATGTTTAAATGTACATATAATATAGTCATATGGCGTGAATTTTTTTAGTTTTTGAAGCTGCTCCAAAATTCCCTCCGAGTTTGGCTCAGGTAAACATAAGGGAGAATATTGCAGCGAGGACAAATTCCGATGTAAATGGAAACTCGTATATACAATTGGTCAAAAATAAGGACTTCATTTTACTTTTATTTAGTTACGGTGTAAATGTTGGAGTCTTTTACGCATACTCGACATTGCTGAACCAGTTATACCTCAGTCATTATCCAGTAAGAACATACCATCATTTTTGTTCTCTATCATTTAAATAAAATTTATGTGTGAATTGTTTGAACATGCATGTATTGTAACAAATAGTCATTGTAGAAAGGTGAAGTAACAGCTGGTTATATTGGACTGGTAATGATCATCGGAGGAATGATTGGATCAGTTGTTTGGGGCATATTCCTCGACAGAACGCACAAGTTCAAGTATGTATGGCCATATTAAATTATAAGGCTTATAATTTAGTTCTCTTAATACTTTAAATGTATTAAAATGTTATTTCTTTGAACTTTTACAGGTTGACAACAATTGTTGTATATTGCTTTGCTTACCTTGGTATGATGGCATTTACATTTTCATTGTTTTATGAACAGAATATAGCAATATTTGTGTCATCTGGAATTCTTGGGTATGGTTGAAATTTCATCCTAACAAACAATTGAAACAATATATTAATATAAATCGTATAATGTATAAATAGTTATTGAAACAATTTTTTTCCCACAGATTCTTCATGAATGGCTATTTAACAGTTGCGTATGAATTTACCAGTGAATTGACATACCCCGTACCTGAAAGTACATCGACCGGTGTGTTAAACGCTGTGGGTGAGCTGCTTGGTCTCAGTATGGTACTAGTTTATGGGATGATATTAGATTATTACGATGATCTCATCACGAACTTGTCCATGTCATCTATTCTTCTCGTCGGCTTGGTCGTTTCACTATTTATTTCTGGAAAAAGTCTCAAGCGGCATGGAATAAACAAAGAACAATCGCAGTCCATGTGAAACAAAGTGTCAAAAAAAGAAATTAATGTCAGTGTTAATTTAACAATTTATTTATTTTGTGTTTGTCATATTCTATAAAAATACATTCATAATGTCATAAAAAATTATAATATTTATTATTTTTTAAGAAGTTCAATTTGTTAAAAATATATCAAAGTTAGTTGTGTTATATATTTTGTATATCTATTATGGGGTGGAATGAGGGACTATAGGCTTAGAAAAATAAATAAGTGCATTCTTGCTGTATTTCTAACAAAATTTAAAATAAGCATCTTTTATATCTAATTATTAAAATATTTGTCATCTTGGTGTGATATTTAGCTGTTAGCTCCATACTAGACTGGAAAACATGCTGAACTGGTATAGGATCACTAATTAGGTCTGTTAAAAGTTCACCGACTCACTGACCAACACCCCTAATCAAAACTAGTCTGGATAACCTAAATTGCCTAAAGGCTCTAGGAAAATGCAACAAGGTTACTTTACTGGCTTATTCTTGCTGATCTTGTGTCATTAATTCATGCTATGTGGCCTGCCCAGTTTCATTTGCTGCATGTGCTTCCGGTAGTTTCTCGTCACTGACCTCGTCTATCTTCTTTATACCCAGAATGCTCCTTGACATTTTTTCATGTGTAATTCCCAGCTTTTCATCTATTCATCCTGTGCCTTGAATGGGCAAGTGCATGCATGTTAGTAGAATCAGTGCTTTACGATCTGAAAAACTTTACCTTGAATTTCTTTTTGAAAGACAGATACGTTCCAAACTTTTTGCTAACCTTATCTCTAATTTTTAGATTTTTGTCTTTAAAGCTGAGGTTGAGATACTTGAATTATCTTGTGTATTCTATCTCAGTACTAACAACTTTGATTCTATTTCTGTATTGTTTGTCATTATTTTAGTTCTCTGGTTCTGGTATACCTGTCTTGAATGACGACAAATTGAGGTAAGCCATGGTACTTGATTCGAGCCAAACAGATCAAAGGCATAGAAGAAACAACGTTGGAGCAGTCCACCTACTCAACATGGGTATATTCAATAATGACCCCATTTGTATGTATGCAATTAGGAGGAAGAAACTATCACCCATATTTTTGGATGTGAAGCATTCACGCAATGGCGACCTCACCTAGGGTACCAAGAAGACCTGAGAGAACGAATTGCAGAAATTCACTCTAGCTCACATTCACTTGGGAATACATGGAACCTGAGCAAATGGGTTGAGCAAATTGACCGACTGTAACAAGCTACTGTGTATAAACATTTGCCTTTCATTACTTTCACTGTACAAAGTAGAAATGTTGTTTGATCGGATTGTCACATGCGATGAACAATGGATCTTGTATAGTAACACCAGGAGGCCACCATTGGTAGTCACTAAATAACCCTGTACCACTGTCGCAAAATCCAAATATTCATCAAGGAAAGGATATGCTTTGTGTTTGGTGGAGTACAGCAGGCAGTGCACTGTTAACTGCCACGTTGCCAGACCCTCACCGCAGAAATATACTCTAGCCAACTATGAGTACTTACCCTGGTCCATAAGCAATCTGCACTCGTTAACTGAAAATGTGTAATCCTTTTTAAAAAAGATGGTTCCTACTCACATTAAATGTGAAAATGTGTAATTTTTCACCAGGAGAATGTGATACTTTATATAAAAGAAACTTTGTGAAGTCCTACCTTCTGTAGTACCTTCACCAGGCCCCATCTGACTTTCATCTTTCCTTAGTGATAGACAATCATATGCACAATCGGGAGTTCGATAACCGCCGACAGCTGGAAAGTGAGCTTATTTTTTAAAGTACCGGAACCCAAACTTTTATAAGAAGGGCACAACTGGCCTTAGAGTTGGGAGAAGGTGCCAAAGGAGTCTATCCTACTGTGTGTGACAATTATTAAACCTTTTAAACCCGCACGAACTTTTCTAAAGCCTAAGTGAAGCCTAATTGAAGGATGCAACTCCTTGGCTCCATATAGAGAGCTTGTAGGAATGCCATCCGGTAGGAGAATCGTTGAGCGCGGTAGCGAGAATCTAGGGTCATCTGTTACGATTTTTATAGAACACAGGACTGTTTTACAATATATAGTAATAGATACCTCGTCACCACATTGAGACTGTATTTAATAGCGTGAATGTAACTAACGTTTTCTTTCTAACAGTGATTGCATTTTCAGAATGTCCGTTTTTTAATCTTTACTACGTCTACGAGTTCATAGATGACCTGTCTATGAGTTTCTATGCAAATGACACATTCGTACGAACTATAGTAGACAGATGTACTATCGTAGGATACAATTTAATTTTGTTTGTTATGTAAATTAGTCAGTATCTAGCGTCAAGAATCTTTCATCATGAATATGCGCGCTCTCATTTATCCAAAAGCCCGAAGACGTACAAATGAAAATCTTATATTGTACGGGATGAGAAACACCTGCACCCTATTTTATGAAAAACCTCGTAATTATACATTTATAGACAGTATCTATTGGTTCGTATCTTAAATGGACTTAGGAGAGTAGTGTTATCTAATTAGAAAACTAACAATAAAAAATGAAACTTTATGAAATATCTATGAATCGAATCTACTAAAAAGAGGATAGAAATTATTATGGATGAGTATCGTTGTAAAATAATGATCAGTTGTCCTCGGGATTCTTTCTCAAGGCCCCTTTTATTGACATTTAAATTGTATCCTGTACATGAATTATACAACTTACAAATTGTTCTAACGGTGTAAAATCCCAGGCAAAACACTAACGCTCCGGCAAGTACTGCACCCGGAGAACACGTGTTATGAGAAGCCATTGCTGGTACTCAGTTTGTCGCCGGGTTCAGACGAGGAGGTCATGTTTGAGGCGACGTGTAGGGTTCTCGGGATGGGAAGAAGTGGACAGGGCTTGAGCAGAAGGGTTAGGATAGTTTGAATGATTGGAGTGACACTTGAGGAAGGAACGGATCAATTCTTTGACGGAGGGAACGTTAAGTCATTGTGGATAGTTGTGTCATTGCGGTAAGGAGTTTGGAGAATTCTTCTGAAGAATTTTGGTTGGAAAACTTGGTTTCTTTAGATGTTAGGTGCTTGATGTTCTGCTCCATATGTCCAAATAGGTCGAGGTAATGTTTTGTAGAGTTAGTTTGTTCTGTACTGTCATGCTTGATTTCGGCCCGATAAGGCTACTACGAAGCCTTATCGGGCCGAAATCAAACATGACAGTACAGAACAAACTAACTCTACAAAACATTACCTCGACCTATTTGGACATATGGAGCAGAACATCAAGCACCTAACATCTAATTCTAGACATGTCAGTCTACTGTCAGTCTACTATTTCTAGACATGACAGTCTACTGTCAAGTGTAGCCCCAGTAGTTGTGTAGATGTCGGTAGTTTTTATTGTTAACGGATAAAAGTTGGTATAGCTGTTTGTTCAGCTGATCTTTTAGGTGCATTTGTCCTCGTTCACTTTCATTTTTCACATTGCACCATTCTTGAATAAGCTTAAGATCCTCCTTGGGGGTGGCTTGGGTAGGGATGGAGTTGGGAGACAAGATTGCAGTATCGTTTACGATAGTATTGGGGTGTATCGGCAGATCAGCAGGGTAAATTGTATATAGGATGTCACCAAGAATGCACCCTTGTGGGTCGCCGGCCTGGTTCGGTCTGACTTCCGGAAACTCGTCACCGCATCTCACTCTGAAGCAGCGGTTAGATAGGATTTTAGGATGATAATAAGGAACTGCTTGCAAGAGAACTCTCGGGTGCCAGACAGAGTCAAAAGCTTGGGACATGTCTGGAATGCACTCAAGAAGTCTATCCTCTAAACCAGAGAAAATAGTATCCACAACACTTCCACTAGAAACATTTATAGAAGGAGAAGCTAGGAAAAGCTCATTTTGGCTCCAGAAACAATAAAATTGGATAGGAACTAAACAATTCGGGCACACAACCATAATTAATGAAATCAGACACTCATTCTTAGAAATGGGGACTGACTACATGACCCCGGAAACATTCTTTACAACATCCTACAAAGTCTCAACGGACTATAAAGGAGAAGAAGAACTCAGGAGAGCATCAGATACAATGACATGGTATACCGATGGCTCCAAAACAAACGGAGGAACCGGATCGGGTGTTTTTTGTACATGCCATCAACGCTTGTGCCCTAGAAAATCTTAAAAGCGGTTACACTGGCAAAAGAATCCTCATAAGATCTGCTAGCCAAGCATTAGCATGTAAAAAGTCACATCAACATTAGTCGGTGAATGCATCCAAAATCTCCAAAACCTGGGGAAACACAACAACCTGATGATACCTTGGCCAGGGCACAAAGGAATTTTGGGTAACGGAAAAGTAGACACACTGGCCAGAGGAGAATCTGCAAGACCATACATAGGCCCCGAACTAGGGGTTACAGAAACAAATACAGAATCCTCCATCGCAGAATGGATCCAAATAAAACAAAAAGAGAAGTAGATAAACTCTAGCTGCGTAAACTTAACAGAGTAAACTTAAGATAAAACAACCCTCACCAAGACTGGCAAGCTAACTGCTGTAATTGGAGAGGGCTAAACTCAGAGGAGTGATAGACTATTAACCGGTCACTGGCATCTGAGGAAACATCTACATAACACGAGCATATATAATAATGAGGAGGAAGAAACAGCCACCCATATCATCTTCGAATGCGAAGCAACGGCTGAATGGATGCTTATCCTAACATACAGAAAAAAAACCTAGGGAATGAAATTTTAGCATCATCACTCAATGACTTGATACTTCTGAGAAGAAGGATTGAGACTATTGCACTGAACTAAGGAACAAGGAAGGTACAACGAGCCAGAAGGATGCCGTACATAATGCCTGGGGAGCAAAAACACCGCTTCTTAGAACCTCATCACCATCAACAACCCTGAAACATTGCTTTATCGAAGAATGAAGAGGACGGAAACCAAATTGGTGTGAAGAAACGGCATTATGTAAATCTAAGTTGGGTATTCTTAACCTCAATAATAAAATTTATAGGCTTGTTACACATAATTTTGTTGTAAGACATACTTTCAACAATACGTGCCATTTGGACTTGAACCCCCCCCCCATGAAAGGAAACGAAGTTCCATTGACCCGTAAGTTGCCATATGTTTAATTACGAGCGTCTGAAAAGGCCAAGTTAACCGTGAAGGGCGTCTTCAAAATGATCAATTGTACAAAGTTATTCAATTAACGCACTAATGAAAAAAGAAATGAATTTTCATAAGAGAAGGTAAAACCCTTCACTCGAAAGAATCTCATAAATTCGCTACTATTGACTCCTATTAACTATTGATTCCTGAAAGGAATTTCTGTTGTCTTACAAATAAAAAAAATATATTTCCTACTCTAGTGAGTTTTAAGTAGGCGTAAAGAGACGCGAGTGATAAGATATATTGAATAAATACAAGGCTTATTACAGTTGACAAAGTTTACTCCATATTTAACTTGTGATTGTGGAGGAACACATTAAAAACGCCTGGAAAGGAACTTAATCACACTAATGGACTGATATTACGAGTCGTCAGTGAGTCGTATCAGGCTTAAGCTTATAAAATAATTAAAAACAAAAATCATCTAGTATTTTTATCCATTGGGAATTATTTAAAGAGAACGGAGGGAAAGGAAAAAAGTCAGATTCCTTACCCCGGGGCGACCAAGGACGACGAGCATCCCGGCTCACGAACTCTCAAGACCCGAGTAGATCATTTACGAAATGTAATCTGTTGATCCGGTGTTCAATTTGTTTACAGAGTTGGCAAATATCCGACGGCAGACAGCTGGACCGAATCTGCTGAAAGGGAATGACGTTCAAGTCCGTGACCATTTATAAGAAAACTTGCTATATAATTATCACATCTTTCGATGACGTGTAACTGACCGATAATCTGCGTGAAAGTCTACGTCAAACGTAAATTCGGTAAAGACTTTCAGCTATGCCTAATACATATGGGAGATTTATGAGCCGACAAACAGAGGTCATCGTGTTTTTACTTCTTATTTCTTGTCTTTCACGCGAGTTTTTCTAAACTCATGTTGTCAACTATCAAATAGAAACGAAAACATAAATATAAACATAGGTATGCCCATCCGACCCCTCGGGAGCACTGCGGAAAAGTAAGACGAGGTGACATGCAGCAGACTTCTATTTGAGAGTCCAGGTCCCATCCAGGAAGAGGGGAAAAACCACGAGACCACGGCAGAATACGTCGGGTTGTACTTACGATATAGTTAGGACACCGGTAACCCGTTACAAACATAGAAATCTGATCATAGTGCCCCAGAGTACTCGGAACATTTCGTTAGTTGTTACTGCCAAGCTTTACACCTATTGTAACGCATCATCAGGGCAAAACAATTTTAATATGTCTGCGAACGGACATAATTAACTTTTGTTATTAACTAATTAACTTTTAACTTTTCCAGAGAAGATTTCAAATTTCTTCCCAACATTGCCGAAGTGATGATGGTGATGAGGATACTAGGAAGTTTTGTGTTCCTAGTGGTTTGTGCTTCCAAGGCAATCCAGCCTTTTGGCTTATTGTACCTTTCTAGTTCGCTCGTCCTTCTTCTTAGAAATATCAGATGATTGACTGTTGCTGCTACAATTTCATTCCCTAGGTTTTTTTCTGTATACTAGGTTATATCTCCATTGAGCCGTTGCTTCTCATTCGAAGATGATATGGGTGGCTGTTTCTTCCTCCTCATTACATAATCTGCAAATGGCATCATCGTTACATATATCCCCATGTTTCTACATAACATTTATACGTGGGCATATGTAACGATGATCCCATTTGCAGATTCTTCTTTAAATTTCTGTAACTACATCAAGACCATATTGGTGAACTTACTTTTACTCCTCAGACGTCACACACTCACTCTAGAGTACTCTATATTCTTCGGGGCGGGGTTCTTAAGAGACTTCCTTTCACGCTAATAAATTACATTCATTCCAATAAATTAACGTAAACATAACACCCAATACAAATATAGAATTCTGATCACATTCAGTCCCCCCAGAGTATTCAATATTACTATGAACCTGGTCGAACCCACTCCATTCTCGTTAATAACTTACTTTTACTCCCCCAGACGTCCCACACTCACACCAAGAATTCTCGACATTCTTTGAGGCGGGGTTAAGCGACCTCTTCCTTTCACGCTAATAAATTACATTCATTCCAACACACATTCCACATAAACACAACACCCCATACAGATAATAGAAGGTACAATCATAGAAGTCTGGTCACAATTACTCCCGTACCCCAATTCTACGCAAAGGTCCGACTATTTGCGAAAATATTGCCCACATATGTCAAACATTGTACAATTAAAAAGGTGCTCGTTTGTTATTTTATCCTTGCATAACGGGCAGCTTCGCGGTCTCTTTCCTGCCATAAGGCGCCGTGCGTTA